AGTTATATATATATATATATATATAATTTACACCAGTCTACATTGACAAATCAATTACTGGTCACATCAACAAAGGGTTTGTGTTATGGCAAATAAAATCTTAAGAAAATTCACAGTTAATCTGCAAGTATTGTAAAGATGCAGGATCATATTGCACATAATAAAACAGTGGACGCTGAGGAGCAGATTTACAGTGTTCCAGCTATTCCTTCACAGAATATACATTGGTCATCATCATGCAATAAACCTCAAATACAGAATGGTATCAAGTACCACGGTAAACAGTTACTCACAATGTAAGTTTTAAATAGAGTAGCAAAAAGCTGTTAGGTTTCTCTTTAAACCATATTTAAGTTCTTAAAATATAATAAAACACTTTGATAAAATCAAACGGAGTTACAGTTGTCACATTGTGTTTCTAATATTCTTCTTTGTCTTTTCCTTTCTTTTCCTTTTCATCCTGTAGTGCAGTACCAAGTTTCTTTATGAGGACTGACAAAACTTTGTCCAAAGGATCCATGACACCACGCTGCAGCCACTTAGGGATAGTAGTCCTTGCATGGTGAAAGCCAAGCTTTTGGAGGATGTAGTCAACACCAACAGGATCAATTTTCCTCCCAGTCCAGGAGATTAATCTAAAAAAACCCCAATAAATAGGGGACTCAATCTCAAATATATAAATATAGCAACAAATAGACATTTTCCCCACTGTTACTTGTTACCAACTTAAGTCCAACACACCTTGTTTCAAACTTGATTCATACAGATAAGCTCAGGATGATCAATGGAACATCCTCTCAAAGGAAGAGGATGATGTTCAGTCAAGGAGGTGAAGAACCTAACTGGGCTGCCTCCAGGTCATGTTTAAATTGATTTATTATTACTCCTAACACAAAACACCAAAGAAGATTTGTTTGCTCTGCACTGATGTGTTGGTTTTATATGTGAATGAACACCAAGGTGGTCCAGCAGGGTCAGCAGAGGTTTTTTAACCCAACCAAACAAAAAACCCACACAGAGAAAAGTCAGTTTCACTGATTATATACAGAGCAGTGAATTGCTGCCATAGACACTGTTCATTTGTACTAAGTTTAAACTGCAGTACAGCAATGAGTATATTGTGCTTCTTTATTTTAAGGTGAAATCCCAAAGTGGAATGCTAAAAATGGAAAACTGCAAGATGAAACTTATATAGCTGAAAGTGAATGGGCTGATGAGGGACAGAGTGGCACACAGTGATCTGTGGTCCTTAATGACTTGAATTTTACTGTATCCTCATTTTGTAGAGCCTCCAACAAAAATCTGCACAAATTCTAATCTAGAAGGTAATGCACAGCCACAGAGACTACAGGTAAAGCTGCTTGTTACCTCAGTGTGGGTTCCAAATGCCAAGTATTGCACATGAATTCTCTCCAGTCGACTGTAGTGTAGGTAATGCTTTCCTCTGCCTCCTTGTCAGTGGAGCTGTCTTCAAGAACACCAACTGAGTTCTTCTGTCCTGGACGAGCAGTCAAAATGCGAGGAGGGAAAATCGCTACAAAGTAGAGAGAGGAGAAACCACACACCAGCCAGTCATCAGCTGCTCATTTCAATTCTCTTTGCACATCATTTAAATAAAACAAAAGCATAAAACTCAAAAAAGGAGAGAACCACCTCATGTTTCAGCTTTACAGAATTTCTGGCAAAGACCATCTATTGCTTAAGAATGAACCTGCCCAATTTGAATGCTGCAACCGCATATTCATGTAGAAAAGTAAAGCATTCTGAAGTCAGAAAAATGCATGTCTTGAAAGGACTCCACTAATGAAAGGATTGCAGTAAAAATAATAAAGCTTTCTAAAACAGTTTTAATCTGCCAAGTACACCGTCTTACAAAAAGAAAGTTAAACTAAACACCAGGTGTCAAAATAGGAGCAAGATTATGACTTTGAGTAAGTAGCACAAGCTCCTCAGTAGGGGGTAAGGGACAGAAACCCAGGAGTCTCTGTGTTTTCTGCAGCATATTGCACGTAGGTGCTGCACTGGAGGTGACCAAGTTATTTTAAAACAACCTGCTGTCCCTACCCAGTACAGCAAAGTGCCCCACACAGGTGGAAACAGAGCTCCCTGGTACAGCGGTGCCATGTCAGCTTGGTAACACTACAAGGTTTGTAAATTTGCATGCAACTACTCTTAGTAAAAAGTATGACTATATTTATTATCAAATCACCTGACCACTGCAGGTTGTCCGACAAGCTTTACCTCATAAATAACAACTTACCTTTTTCTTTTTCTTTTAGATAAGCAGACACCAAGTCGTGCAGAAACATGATCAGTTCAGCATCCATAGTTACACAGATGTGGTCTGTAAATTCAGTTACTACACTGCATTCCACCTTTGGTTTGACACTTGTATCTACAGTCAGATAAAAATAGCATTAATACTCTTACAAATACATAATGCATAGGTAAAAGTACACAGAATCTGAATACAAATCATTTGAGAATGGCACTGCTTTTATTGAACCAGTGACTCAAAAGAGAGAAAGGACCACAGTTTAGCAGCCTCAGCAGCTTTTAAACAGGTCTCCCATCACAGTAACTTCTGGGATTTTATAAAAGATGTTGAAAATTAAGAAATACTACCAGGTAACAACCTTGATCATCCTCAAGGTGGAAAGTCAACCTAGAGCAGTATCACTACCTTGTGCTATGCTGTCAGCACAGGATTTTAGACAGTAAGAGAAGCTGACAGCAGATTCTGCTTGTTTGGCTATTAAAATATAACCAAAAAACAACAGGCTGACTTATCTAGCAGTATTATCCAAGATCAGGTATGGTATAAAACCACAGCTCAGCTGAGATAAATATCTAAGTGATGACTTACACCTTCAGAGGTTTTATTTCCCACCAATTCCAGGTGCAGTCTGAAGACAACATTTTGAAAACAAGAGCATAAAATTTAGGCTCCTCATATTCCCTTTTTCAGAATGGCCCTTCTCTTTAACATTTTATTAGATACAAGAAAATCAACCCCCTAGAAGCAGTCAACCTAGTTAAAATGTTCATATTAATTTCTCTTAGTAAGTTTTTTCCTATAGTGACCAGTCTCTGGACTAGATCTTCACACTCTCCAAAGAATTCCCTCTACATTTTATTACAAAATAATTATCCTTTCTTGAAGATCTGCAGTAATTCCCAGATTAAACCCTCATATCAGCACAGTACCTTTATATTTATCTCCTCATTTATGACAAACAGCTTTGGATCAAGAAAAAACAAATGATGTTTACTTCACCTTGTAATGAAGGCTCTTGAGGCTCTTGGACATGAATAGATTTAAAATCCAGCTGCATCCTTGGCAATGCAAAGATGGTTTCAGTTTCATGGTTGTAACTGGAGCCACCTCTGAAGCCACTTAGCAAGCTTGAGCTTTTCACTGTGGTGCTGCTCTCTGGGTTGTTGGCATCGACATTCCTAAGGAGGTTCAACTCTGTGTGGAAAATGGGAAATGTTCAATTGTGGTAAGGCCAAAAAGTTAAGCAAGGTCACTGGTAAAACTGCTGGTGTAGGGTTATTAAGAAGATGATGTCCTTTATCCTGCCTCCCAAAAGCATGGCTAGAAATGGGCAAACCATCAAATGTTGTTGGTGATTACATACTGAAATGCTTCATGAGGCTACCCAAAAGCCTCCAATAGACAGTGCCTCTATTTGTGAACTTCAACCACTACCTTCTGTTGTGTATAGTAATAGTTCTTTTCCAAGGAACCATGATCTGCTCATTTCTCACTGTATGTCATATACACTTTACAAATTCTGTTAATATCACCTCTGATTCTGTGGTTGTGAATGAAATACCAACAGCTGCACTTTAAGATGCATTTTAACAGCGTGAAAGTTTTATTTTCCAATTATCAATGATTTAAAGATACAATTCCAAATGTTTTAAGGCCTAGAAAAAGCTGAAGGTTGAAAAGCTTTAAGCAGATGCGTAATTTAAGTGTTAGTTCTAAGTGGTGATGAAAGGCTAAAATATATTCCTACTTGAACTTAATCCATAAAACTTTCATATAGTGAAATATATTCTTATGTTACAGAATCATAACTGGATGTGAAACAAGACTTTTTTTGCACATAGCGAAAAAGGAACTTCGTTCCACAGTTCACCGTAAGGTCCTCAAGAAGAAAGAACTTCCATGATCTCAAATTCCCTTCTTCCTGTAGCCCACTTGAAACATCTGCAAGCAGACCCATCCCCAGACTTAATGACCATGACTCTAACCTTCATTCCTTGTGGCTGTCACATAATTGAACCACTCTTTCACACTGGCAACTCCATGGGGGGGATTCTCGTGGCGGCGCCGTGTTATCTTTGTGATTGTGGCCATGGGGCTTTCCAGAGCTCCACAGGGTTTGGTGACCATAGTGTTATGGCCCAAGTGAAAGTCCAGGGTTTGCACAATGTAAGTGGAGTGTTCACTAGTACCTGCATTGAAGGTGTGGGAGGCATGGGGTGAGAGAGAAAAGAAAGGAAAAAGCAGTTTGGTGAGGGTAGTGGGATTGTCTCCTCATACAGGTATTTAACATGAATAATTAGTATGCCAGTGGAATAAAAACCAGTATAAAACTTGCAAACAACAGAAAAATGAATCCTCAGTAGCTACAGACAGTAAAAACTTCTTAATATTAAGACAAATATAAGCAACAAGATCATCAAAATTCATCACACAGATAGAAAGGACTACATTAACATACACATGCAGTTCATAAGGCTGACAATCCAGCTTGTAGGCATATGATCAGGGACAGATCCATTTGAAAATGTACCCTGCATTGCTCCACAGATAAAGCAAATTGTAGTAAGGATGGAGAGGGAACAGATGATTTTTAGACAAGTGGAATATTTTGGGGAAACAATCTTGATTCAGACTAACAAAAACAAATTATTCTTTGACTTCTTATGTATCAATACATTCTTAAAACTCATTTAAAGGAATTTAGAGAAGTGAGGAAATGGTTTAAATTACCATCTTCCAAAACTTTCTGGGCTTCTGTCCAAAATGCAATATTGGGTTCTTCAAGGTGAAATAAAGCCCATGATTTGGAACGGAAATTTGGCCCATGAAAACAAGCCAGCGTCATATGGTTGCCATGCAGGCTCATGGACCCTCCAAACTGCATTCCATCCTCTGGCAGTGGCATCTGAAATAAGGATATATGGCACCCAGACAACACTTTCAAAACTCCTGGCCAGTGGCGATGATGGGCTGCATCCAGCACTGGAAAGGAAACATGAACAACAAAAATCAGTAAAGAGACAGAAAATATTGCTGCTGTATTTATATTTTTAGTAAAACATGGAATTATGAGCATTTTCTAATCTATTTCACTGACACTGTTGCTCAGAGGAATTTTTGCAAGTAAACCAACCTAACTGGGATGATACTATTTTTGTACCACTTACATTGCTCGTGTGAGCTTTTCTCCAAGTTGTTGGCCATTGTCTTGGGAGGGAGATAAGGAACAGGTCCCCAGGTGGACAGAGCTCTCTTGCTGGTATCAAACTGCTGAGTAAAGAACTCCTGGAGTTTCATTCCTATTTTTATAAGGTCTGGTGTGGTCGATCTTGAAATCATCACTTGGAAGATATCCCATTTCAAGTCCCCATGGACAAATATCTCACTAGGTATTAGAACCAGCAACATTAACAGTTAATATATTTCATACTGATATTTAAAGAAAAATTCCAAACAACAAACCCTTTCTCTTCTAGCAGACACTTCCATTGACCTTATGATTGGACCTCTGACTTAACCAGGCAGAGTTTGACCTTAGCAAACATTATCCATTTTACATATAGGAAACATCATTACCTTTTATCAGTCATGCTCGATTCCAAAGTGTTATACAGGTTAATTTTCCATTCATCCTGTAGTTTAAGATCAGCATTACTGAAGATTCCCATTAGGATACTGGAACCCATATAGTCAACACGTGCTTCAGTGGAACCCATGGTAATCTGAATTTTATGATTGGGCTGTTGGTTTGGATGTTCTGAAATATGAGCTGAAATAGAACAAAAGCAATATAGAAACACAGTATTAAAGACAAGAAAATCAGTTTTTCTAGTGATATCACATTTATGCCATCCACGTGATAGAGAGGGGACTGAGAAAACACAGAGTTTTTTTCTAGATGCACGGGGAGGTCATGGCTCTGGTGTAGCACTAGAACACTCAGCCTCTTTCCAAAGCCAGTGTTGCATTTCCCAGGCCATAAGCATTGGTGAAGATCTAGGAGGAGCTGAAGTGCTGTCAAACACTATCTGTTCCGACAGCTGAAGGGTTGCACAACTAGTGTAATTTTACAGCAACCCTGAGACTGAATCACCCCTAATCAGAAGGTTATTCCTTCAATTAAAGTGTGTTTCATGGTCAGAATGCATAAGTAAGAACCTGAAGTTTTTCTGTACTAGCAGGTTCACAAAGTGAGGACCTTGGTCTATTGTTCAGCTCTTCACATTTATTGTCTGGAGTATGTATTAATACCAGGCAGCTTTCCAACTTACCCACCATCTCCAGGGTATTAACATCTATGGTACCTCCAACAACTCCCCCTCTGGAGTCCAGCTGGGATCTCCCCAAGCCAACAGACATGCTAATTTCCCGATCTCTGCTACTTCCCACAGACAGCCGACCCTGACTTTTCAAACCACTGGTGGTCCACCTAGAACAGAGGTGAAAATAGACAACAGTTTTCCAGGCTCTCAAAAGGGAAACTGAATATTATTTACTGAAAATCGGTAAATAATGTCATTTAGGCATATGTGACTTCAGGATTAAACCTCCAGAGTATTCGTGAATGAATTCACAGCTAAACTGAAAAAAATCAGGATTTTAAACCTGAAAGACAACATGCTGTAAATAGTCCATGGGGAAAATGTTCTGTTGCCCCCCAGACAACACTATCTGTTAAAACATGCTCGATCTCACTCTATACTTACGTGGTATTGCCCATTACGTTGCTCATATTCATTTGCACATTTAATTGTTTGAGGTTCATAGCAAATACAACCAGTGTTTCCCATGGGGTTCCTTGCTGGCTTCCAGCTTTATTTGACTTATTGAATGGAGTTGATGTTTTTGACAGAGTATCTAAACAAACGAACAAAAAAAAAAAGTAGACAAAAATTTAGGAAAAACTGGCAGAATATATCCATTGTAACTATTACAAAACTATTGACAAACACCACATTTAAAGAGCTCTACAAAACTGTGAGTGAGGATAAGTGAGAACTAGAGGGTTTGCAATATGTGTTGCTTTAACTGTCATAGAAATTGATTCACTGGACATATTTTGCACATTTATTTTACTAATATCTTTTTACTTTTCAGTCAGAAGATATTTTAAGTTACTTATATGTATTAAAATACCAGTGTGTTTAGTGTATTAGTATTTCAGTATTCAGGTAGCAGTGCCAAATCAGAATTTCAAGTATTAGGGTGTTCCCTGCTCTTCTCACAGAAATCCTGGCAATATTCCCATAAGCCTGTGCAAAACTGCATTTCCTATCAACAAGCCACTCTACCAGCCATAAAACCTCCAAATGTCTTCTCCTGAAAAACTTTTCCTATATAACATCTTGTTTCTGTTCTAAGTAGATAAAAAAAAACTATTCTTGATTTTTTTCATGGATATATTTCCTAAACTGAAATAAGCATTCTACCTGTAAATCTCCTCTCTATCCTTAATGCCATAAATATTACACACAGCCAGTGCTACACTGCTGGAAGATGAGGGGATTGAGCACACCATCAGCAAGTTTGCAATGACACAAAATTGGGGGGAAGTGTCGACCTGCTGGAAGGCAGGAGGGCTCTGCAGAGGGACCTGGGTAAGCTGGAGAGATGGGCTGATTCCAACGGGATGAGGTTTAACAAGGCCAGGTGCTGGTCCTGCACTTTGGCCATCAGAATCCCATCCGGAGCTCCAGGCTGGGACAGAGAGGCTGGAGAGCACCAGGCAGAAAGGGACCTGGGAGTTTGCATAGACAGGAAATCCTCCCAGTCAGCACTGCTGGCCCTGGATTCTTCCCACAGCCTGTCTGGGGGTGTGTGCTCCAAGAGAGCTTCCAACCCTGCCTGTGTTACACCTCTGCCACGCTCAGGTCCTGCCCTGCTGTCCTGGATCCAAGCTGTGCAGTCCCATACTCCTCTGTAGTCTGTCCCAGTCTGGCTGAGGAAGCTGCTCCCAATTTCAGCTGCTCAGCCCTCCAAGGAAACCAACCTCTTTCCTGAGCAGGCTCTGAGCAAAGCTTTGTCGCTGTGCTGGTTTGAGCCAGGGTGGAGTTAATTTCTTTTTTTCCTCTCAGTAGCTAGTGTAGTGCAGTGTTTGAATTCAGAGTGAGAATATTGTTGATAGTACACAGATGTTTTGGTTTCTGCTAAGTTGTGTTTATCCTAAATCAAGGACATTTTCTTTCTTGTGGCTCATGCTCTGCCAGTGAGAAGGTACACAAGAAAAACTGGGAGACAGCATAGGCAGGACAGGTGACCTGAACTAGCAAAGGAATACTCCACACCATGGAATGCCAATGCCCAGTACATAAGCAGAAGTGGTGGCCAATCCGGGGGGAGGGACAGGGTT